ACCTCTATTAAGGAACAAGAGTGCACAACCACTCATGCCAACCAAACTAATTAAACAAGATATATATTTATTACATATTATATATCAACAACTTATTGCCACTCATTAATAGATAAAAATATGCAAGATTTATACCAAGAAAAATCACAACTCACAATAAATAAATAATAAAAACATCATCTATATATTATTCATTAAAAGGAAAGAAAATAAAAAATTAGTTGATATATATATATATATATATATATACTAGTTCTTTTACGCACTTTGTGCGAATGAGATAATGCCCAATAATTATTTTTAAATAAGTATTCCAAAATCAATGCAATATTATATAGGAGATTTTCATGCATATGTAAATAAATGTTGAATTTGTTTATTTAAATCGGTAATTTAAAGTATATAAATGCAAGATAATATATGAGAGATTGATTATAATTGTCACTAAAATAAATGTTTGCAACTTTGTAATAACGCTAGTCTAAATATTTAGTTTTAAAGCGATAGTCTAAATAAATACTACTTTTGATTTAAATTTCTCTAATTATTCTTAATTCTTTTTCGGGTAGCATTGTTATTGTTTTCATCTTCAGTACATGTCCTCTTTTTTTCTTTATTGGTAGTGTTTCATATGCAATAAGGTTACTGGTAGCAGCATAGATGGATTCATCATGCAATGAGATTATGGTGTAGGAAGTTTTAGATTTACCTTGTTGTGTATATGACTGAAATTTTAGTTGTAATATGAACTCTTTAGCGTACAAACACCTATTGATATTTAGTAGTGGTAGTTTTTTTCCTACATGTTTCATGTGTTGTGAGATGTGTGTCCCAGGTTATCATGTGAAAGTATTGAACGAAATATTAATATTTATTATATTTGTATAAAATACTTGGTAAATAAATAAATAAATAAATATATATATATATATATATATATATATATATATATATATATATATATATATATATAAAACATGTTTTTGTATTATAATTTTGATATTTAATTACAAGATAATGTAAAATAGAAGACAATGAACAATGTAGCAAATATAATAAATTAATAAATTTGAAGGTAAGGAATCTTTGAATTGTAGAAAATAAAGATAATATAACTAATGAAATTATATTTGATCAACAACTTTGTAGTTAGGCCGCGCAGGTCTGACAATGATGTAAGAACATTGTTCGATAAAAAAAAAATAATAGTATAATATTAGTAATGTAATGTACAATTGTACCATTATAAAAAAATACAAAAAAAATATTAATACCATAATGGCCTAAATCATTCCAATAATGCAAAAGCATAATTGAAATATTAAGTTTTGTTCTAAATAATCAGAATAAGATCAATTTAAAAAAAAAAAAAAAAAAAAAACTTAACATAAATTTGTTTTTTTTTTAATAAAAAAATTCAAGAAAATCAAATAATTTTAAAGTAGTTCCTGATTTATAATATTTGATGCTCAACTTTAAATGCTATGTATTTAGTCGAGCTAATTATTTGACCAAAGTTTATGTTATTAAATTTTATATTATATATTTTTTTAATACATTTTAACATATTCATAATATATGTTTAACAATTATGTCAATTATACTTGTGATGAGGTTCGAACCTAAAAATTTATATAAATTAAGAGTATGTTAAGAATAATAAATAGTTAACGGAATATATGTTTAACAATTATGTCAATTATACTTGGGATGAGGTTCGAACCTAAGACCTTATATAAATTAAGAGTATGTTAAGAATAATAAATAGTTAACGGAATATTCCGTTACTAAAGTTTAAACTAACGGAATTTAGGGTTATTTAAGGGAAGAAAATAATATAATAGAGGGTAAATAAGGAAAATCATTAAAAGATACTAAAATCAAAATAATATGAACCATTCATTTTAAGAAACAATTAGTACCGACATTTTTTTTGTTCCAGTTAAGGGCCTAACATTATTCGCTCTTATTAGATTTGTAGAGATATATATATATATATATATATATATATATATATATATATATATATATATATATATATATATATATATATATATATATATATATATATATATATATATATATAGTTAATACCCAAAATCGTACTCGACTATAGTGATTTTTCTCAATTTCGTCCTAAACGGCTTTAGTGACCTAATATCGTCCCAGACTTTTGTGTTTCGCTCAATTTAGTTTCAGACTTTTGTATTTTTGCTCAATTTAATCCCTCATTTGTTATTCTGTCCATTTGATGTTAAATAAATAGACAATTCAATAATTTTAATATTGACATCTCTTTACTCATAGACATGTGAACTGCGAAATCCCTTTTTTTTTACAAATTACTCTCAGAATTACTCCTAAAACTGCGAATATAAAATTTGATTTGCAGGTTCGGTAGTAATTCTGGGTGTAATTCGTACAAGAAAGAGGAATTTCGCACTTCACAAGTTGAAAGTAAAGAGAGATCAATATTGACATTACTGAATTATCCCTTTATTTAACACCAATTTGACGGAATAACAAATGGAGGACTAAATTGAGCAAAACACAAAAGTCTGGGACGATATTAGGTCACCAAAATCGTTTAGGACAAAATTGAGAAAAACCACTATAGTCGAGGACGATTTTGGGTATTAACTCTCTCTCTCTCTCTCTCTCTCTCTCTCTCTATATATATATATATATATATATATATATATATATATATATATATATATATATAGACTCAGGGTCGCGTTCAGGTGCAAATAAGTGTCCAGGAGGAAAATGCGAATCAATCAGCGCACGCCACGTGTCAGCATTCATTGATCGAGTGCACCTACTTTCGCCTGCAAGTGCACGTAGTTTTTGTCTGCATTCATTGATCGGGTGCACCTACTTTCACCTACAAGTGCACCTACTTTCGCCTGCAAGTGCATGTAATTTTACCTTGTTAACATTCATTGATATGAGTTCAGCGAGTAGTAATACCCCTGAAAACCACCCGCAAACATTCATGCACCTCGGTGCAACTACTTATAACTATAGGTGCAACTACTTATAACTATAGGTGCAACTACTTATAACTCTAGGTGCACTTAGTATTGATGCTCAGTGTAAATTTTTACTTTCACCTATAATTCATTTTACATGCACTTGTAATACATTTTACTTGCACTTCGGTGTTCAATTACTTACAAAGATACCACTGCATTTTTTAAAAAAATCAGTATTTTTCATCCATTTGATCGAAATACGTGGACGGATATAATGCATTCGCATATTTGCACCTGGGCGCTCTATTCGCACCAAAGTGCAATTCTATAGACACATGTCATGTGTGTGTATATATATATATATATGGTTTTGGGGTGTGGGCACACTAGCAAAACACACTCCAACCTGCAGATCTAGATAAGGCCAGGCATGCAAGCTGCAATCTTTCATCCTCATGCTTGTGCAGATGGATTGGTGACACATGTAAAAAGTGTGTTACTTCCGCATCAATTAAATTATTAAGAAATATTTTCAAAAAATATAATTTGATGTGAATAATTTCGCGAGAAAACTTAATTAATTAACAAATTTGGCATTACCTTAAAAGGATAACAATTAAATTTCTTGAAATATTAATTAACCGAATAAAACACGGTCAAAATAATTATTATTATTATAAATCCAAACCCAACATTATTTCCAAATTTAATCAAGAATTTATCAATTCAATCACTATAAATTTAATTTTTTCCTGAATTATTGCTTTGCGTGATCCTTCTAAATTCTGAGCAACCTTATCCAACACCTCTACTATGACAACACAATGCACACCAACCTCTTACCTAATCTAATCTTGCCAACATTATTGTCAACTGCTCTAACATATTCATGGAGTATAAAAATGGTGTCCCCCCACACCTAAATAATTATATGTGTATTGTCTTCTCATGGTCTATCTTTAAATGACTTTGGCATGCAACCTTATTTCGATCTGTCTGTATATCACTTGTAAGCCTTATCCTTGTATGGTTTTCTATCTGTTCTTTCTGAATTTGGGTTTTGGTCTCATGAAACTCATTGTTCATATAAACTTGTGTTTGCCCTTTGTTGATTTGGAAGCATTAGTGCATTATTGTTCTTGTATTGCATTGCATAGTTCTCCACAATCTTGTCTTTCAGGGTTAGCAATTGACCTAGGATGCATGATCGTTTAAATAAAATGTGGTTAGAGTGACTGAAACAATACAATTCACGCTTCAACTGTATAAATTTTAATTGAAGATTTGATAGAAATTGTAATTGAAACGATTTGTCGTTTCAATTTCACTACATACCATTTTTCTAAACGAATAAAATCTGCGCCAGAAAACGAATAAATTCTGCGCCTGTGTGGTCCGATCGTTTAGCCGTTCTTTCTAAGAGATATCAAATGTTTATTAGTAATTTGCATAGATAAAAACCATGCCATAGAATATCATTGGACATGTTGGGCAAAGATAGGAGACAACAAAAGTTTGGGGCATTTTGTCAATTAATTGATAAAAAATCTAAAACCAAGTTGAATAGATTTTGGGGTTTGATTAAATCAAAGTAATGATGTCAATGTTTGGGATGTCAAATACATTATTTGTGACCTGAAATGGGCTTGTTGAGTAAGTGGAACTGGAACATGATTATTATACTTTGAAAATTACAAAAATTATTATTTCTAATATCTCTTTTTGGTCGACTTTTCGTATAAATTTATTTCAATTTGCACCTATTTCATATATCTAATGCATACTTTTTAAAAATAATAGCTGCAAATTTTTTTAGTCATCTAACAATAATGTATTAATTTTCTGATGTTCTGTCGGACCAAGATATGGGTCTTTAGGATTGGAGATTCAACCTTTTAAAAAGAATGAATAATAATTTTTTACTATCATTGAATAATAATCATAATCATAATCATAAATTCATAAAGTCAAAACAAAATAGATTAAAAATAATAATAATAATAAACTTTGGGGTGGCGGAGTTGCACCATATATTTTTCGCACCTTATCACCGTCTTCATCATTTACAGTGCACGAGAAAGAGGAATGAAAAAGTGTATTGACCACTTTCCTGAACTATGTATCTTTACATCCATTATATATATATATATATATACACACATATATGTATAATGTGTAGATACATAGAGATAAAAGTCTGGGTTCTGCTTGGGTTCCACCAAAACCATGGATATTTGGGATTCTTGTAGTTGTAATACTGGTGTCATCACTTTCTGTTCTTCTGACAGTTTTAGTGATTGCAGTTGCTTCAATTCATCATTCTCAGATGCTTTGTCTCTTTCCTTTTCTGCTTTTCAATGTCTCAATTCCACCATTTTCTTGAAGGAGGAAGGAATTAATTAATTGATCACCCTTCTGAATTCTGCCTGTTTTTTTTTTCTTGGTTGTTTACTGTAATCCATACCCTTCTCTCTCTTTTCCCTTAAAGTTTGAAACTTTGTGGCATTTGTTTGCAAGAATGCTGTGTTCTTCCTTATCTGGGTTGATTCATCACCCAGCCACGATGGGTTCTTTGGAGAATTTATGCAGGTAACTTGAATTGTCTTCTTAGTCTCAAGAACTGAAATGTGGTTGATCAGATTATGTTTTGGATGAGGGTTTGATGAAACTGTGCCCTGTGTTTGTGATTTGTGAATGGAATTTTTAGAAGCATTTGTGGTAGTTCTTGTAGCCTAGGCAATTCCCAAAATCCATTTATTCTTTACGATCATCAGGTGTGGTTTTGATGGTCGTCTTGGATGTTGGATTGGGAATGAAAAACAACACAAGAAGAGGAAGCTGAGCATTTCTCCTTGGAGTGCTTCTGCTCTTGCTGAAACCCGAAATTCGTCTCGAGCTGAGCTCTATGCAGAGGTTGGGACCTTTTTCTTGCACGATATATGTTCGTTTTTATGCTTAGGAGGATAATTCTGTACCGTTAATCGGATGATCAGTCGGTTTTAGATGTTTTATGAATTGTAGCATAGTTTATGGTTACAAATTTGCAGCTTTAGATGAGATTGTGACATTTTTGGCAGGTTTTGAAAGATGCTAGGGAGAAGTTTACCCGGGAGGTATCTTTGCGAACGAAGGATAAAGAAATATCCCTAGCAAAGGTATATATATATTCGAGTAGTTTTCTTCTCGATTGATTTATAAGCAAAGATGTTCTATGTTTCATCTTTGGCGCTTTCTATTTGTGACAATTAATATGTTGAATGAGATCATTACATATAGGCTTTGCTTTATGTTGGTGCCGAAGATGAGGTGTTCATGGCTTTCAACCGGGAGAAGGATGCTTATGCGGTCCAAAGTGAAAGTACTGCTCTGATACCGTCCTATACTCCAGATTGGCGACACGTGGAGGCCATGCCTCTTGCCGGGAAAAGTATGAATCGGTGGTTGGGCGAGCTGGATGCGATTGCAAGAGAAGTCGAGGCAGAGCTAGTTTCACGAGAAATCGGGTGCCATTTGAGCGAGGTTTTGGAAGCGGTGAACGTAGTCCTTTTCGAGTTGAGAGGTTTCAAAAGGTCACATGTATTGGTAGATTCCAAAGGTTTATACCTGCACTCGGTATTAGCCTCGGGATCTTGCAGTGGTATATACTAATATACCCATCCTCTTGTTTTAAATTTTACTAATTACTCGTGTTCATGTCATTTGATGCTCGTTTACTTTATGAACAGCGATTTTGCTCAGTATTGTTTATATTGAGGTTTGTCGAAGACTTAATCTAACTGTTTTGGGATCCCGAGTTGGGGAAGAGTTTTTAATATGGCCCCAGACAGGAAACCCCGAGGTAATCCGCGCCTCTCTTTGTGCTTCAGTAGGTTGAGAAAGTAACTATATGAACAGATACTACATTGTAACAGAGTCAGTAATACTAAAAAAAAAACATATAAGCGCCTTCTAAGTTTTCTAATCCTATCAAGTTTAAACTTGCTACATTCGTCACGGTTTTAGGAGCTATTCAAGATTACTTGCGGGCACAGTTTGTTTGGCATTGTTAACGGGAAGTGTGTGGAGGACCCTCGATCGAAGGCCTCGGACATAAATAGCAATTCACTTCTAGGACTCGAGGTTGCAACGAACCGGGATATAATTGGACTCGCTTTAGCCAATTTGATTGTAAGCTTCTATTCTCATATACCTTTTAGTTTTCGGGGATTCATTCGATCATTCCGTGTTGGATTTAATGCTTCTACCGATTTAAACTTGCAGAGGTTTCATTGGAAACGTGCTTCGAGAGCAAATCATGGTCTGATGCTGACTTCTCCGCTTAGATCTGTTCGTGATGCTGATGAAAGATCTAGCAAGAGCGACGCTTCAAATGTCCCCTTGTTACGACCTCAAGATCTGAGGTATATACTACAATTGCTCCCGATTAAACGGTTTCCATTTTGTGTTGCTCCTTCGCTTATGATAACGTTACCATCTAGGCTGGCTATTATGGCATCCGAAAGATTACTTATTCTGCAGCCACACAATTGGGCTCTGAGACGAGACTATGGCATGATGTTGTACTATAGTAGGTATGCACGACGATTTTGATAACTTATCTAACTATTAAGACTCTCACATTGATAAAATAAGAGAGAACCTTTATAAGGCTATGGGTTAGACCAGCTAATTAGTTGGATTCAATCTTTTAGTGTCGTATTCTCTCATGTTTGACAAATATCAGGGAATACGAGGCAGCTGTACAGGAGCTTAGCATCTGCATGGCCTTCGCTCCAGAAGAGGAAGCGGAAGTTTTGGAGCCATTCGTCGAGAAGTTACATCTCTTGCGCCTTGAATCCTCGTGGAAGTCCCGGGGACATAAAGGTCGGCTTACAGTTCCTTGACAGCGCTGATCATATCGCGGTTTTCTGACATGTTAAGCTTTCAGCGAGGCGTAGAACTGTAGAAGTAGGCTTTCTGGTTTCTGTAAATACTTCTTCCTGTAGACCATGTTGGAGCCATAATGTCCATGAGACAAAGATGTATGTACAAGTAGATGAGATGAAGCTTAAAATGGTGTCAGATCATAATGTTAATTCTCAGTTTCATGGGATGAAATAGCCATTGTAAATGACCTTTTAAAGGGAATTTCTTGTATAGTTCTCATGCTGATGATTATGGTTGATTACTCATAATCTAACATAATATATAATACACATAAATTCTTAACAAATACACCTGAACTCTTAATATAATACACATAAACTCTTAACATTACATACATAAACACAAAAAATAAAACTGTAACGGAATTGGACGGACAGAACGGTGTCTGTCGCGTCAACCTCCCAATTTATAGAAACGACGTCGTTTTGAGTCAAGGCGCATTGTGCGCCCTCGTGCATGATATAATTTGCCCTCTCATACCAATCATTATTGTGTGGACCATGGTCCACCACACAAATTTTGTGGACCATATTTTGTATAGTATATAAAATAATGTACATTCAGTACAAAAATAATTTACAGTCAGCATAAAAATAATGTACATTATATTTAGGAAATATATATTATTTTTATACTGAGTTATATAATGTATATTCAGTACAAAAATAATGTACATTTAGTATATTAAAAATATACTTTTTGTTAGGGTGGACCAATTTGCATAAAGGGATTTGCTAACACACTGCAACAGAAGCCCAGCCCTAAAATTGTTCGATCAGCGAACTCAATTACTCAATTTCTTCTTCTCTGATTCGACGCTTCTTCTCTCAGTTCAGACTTCAGATCAGCTCCCTGGTAAAGGCAATCGTATTTAAGCTAATTCCCATTCCTTCTATCGTTATCTTTTTCACTTCGATTCCGGATTTCGGTTCTATCACTTCTGTTAGCTTCAGGCTGCTCATATAATCTATTTTCTTTCGAAAATGTGTATGTGTATAGGTTCAGGATGGTTGAGACGCTGTTTGAGGATATTTTTACAGTAACTAACATAGACCCAGATGGGAAAAAGTTCGATAAAGGTATTCATCTATTCACTCTCCCTCACAGCTCTTTTAGGGTATACTCTATATTGCTTGAATGTTTTCTTGAAAAAGTTGTGATTTTGATGTGGGGAGATGTCTGATAAGAACCATATTCTTGACATAAAAGCTCAAACCAATGAGTTTAGCATATTGAACAATAGGGTTAATGAAAAGTGGAGCAAATTTACAGCAATATATCATGTGGGTGTGCAATGAATTATGAATCTCCTTGTGTTTTGAGAGCCTTAATCCCTGTTTAGTAATAAAAGGTGTTCTTTTTCAGTTGTTGATATGTTGGTTGGATTCCCTATTTGGTTCATTTTTAGCTCATTGCCACTTAGTTTTGACTTTTGATTGTTGAACTTTGCCATGTTTAACACATTGTTGTTAAGGCGTTGCCTAGGAAACCAGGAAACCATACGCCTAACGAGCTCGCCTATGTGTATTTGTTTATACAATTATGTGTATTTGTTTATACAGTTATGTGTGTTTGTTTATACAGTTATGTGTATTTTTTTTATACAATTATGTGTATTTTTTTATACAATTATGTGAAACGACGTCGTTTTGCATCAGGGCTCACAATGCAATGCGCGCCCTGGTGCACGATATAAATTGCCTCGCCCAGGCGTCTTGGATGCCTAACCCAGCTCCAACCCGGGTATTATTATTATTTTAAAATGGTCGATTAAAAACCCTACTAATATGTAGCTAAGACCATTAAAAAAATGGTTTGATTTTAAGCTATTGCATAATTTAGTACTTATTGTTGAGATTTGAGAATATGCTTATATGCTAAAATGCTAAATTTTGAAATGATATATGGTATTTTATATATATATATATATATTTCCTCATCGCCTAGGTGGTTGGGTGGCGCCTTGCCTTGAAAGTCCACCTTAACAACATTGGTTTCACATGTAGTTTGTTGTCGATGGGAATTTCTGCCTAAAAAAAGCAATGCCTGTGATACCTATTTTTGGAACAGTGTATAGCTGTACTGATAATGATTGCGTGTGTTCCTAGTTAATCGCATTGAGGCGAGGAGCGAGCAGTTTGAAATGTATATGCAGTTAGATATAAACACGGATATATATCCTATCCGCCAAGACGAGAAGTTTATGATGGTTCTGGCCTCCACATTAAACTTGGATGGGACACCAGATTCTGGTTACTTTCTTCAGGTATTCTTTTGCTATAATTTATCGCACTTGTATACCCACACAAAAACCAGCTTTTATTTCCGTGAATTAACTGTATTGCCCGTAAAAAAGTTTCTAACCGATTGCCTAGCTAATTCTCCGTAAAATTTTGTCATTGGAAATGCTTCCGTTCTTGAAGTTCTAACTTTGTCTTGGTATTGTAACCTTGATCTCAGGGAAACAGGAAATCGCTTGCTGACAAGTTCGAGTACGTGATGCAAGGAAAGCTGTACAGGATATCAGAGGAAGGTTCGGGAAGGCTTGCTAAAGCGTAGGCTTCATTACCCCCGTCTCTTAAAGATTGCCAATTTTCATCGTTTTCTATTACGAAATTTGCAGAAAATGCGTTAACCTGTTTTTTGTTACTCGCTCCAGGGATCTATATGTTTCATTCGGTGGACTTCTGATGCAGCTGAGGGGAGATCCATCGATAGCAGCTAAATTCGAGCTCGACCAGAGGCTGTTCATTCTCATCAGGAAAGTTTGAAGCCGAAGTCTTTTTTTCTGATGGATCCGATACTGTTGTTATCGGATGTTATTTGTCAGTCTAACGTTTACGTTAACATTTGAAGTGTTAATGTTGAGCCTTTGGGCTTGTTCATGAACATGATGTAATGATAAAGATGACAAAGTACTATGTTGTTTGCAGATGATGCTCTGTTGGCTCATAATAATGCTTGTTAAGATTCTATCTTCTTTATATGATTTACAACTGAATGTTACTATTTCAACTGAAAGATAAACAAAGTAACAAGCATATCATCTCTTATAGTTGCTCCCAAAAAGTTGGATTCCCAACTCAAGGACACCCCACGCCTTGGTGAACATTTGGGAGAATGTAAATTATGGTAACTCAGTTAATCATAGACTTTGAGAGGTTACTCCCACACAGCTGTTGGTAAGACCTGATCCCAGGTCATTGTAGACTTTGAGAGGTTACTCCTACACAGCTGTTGGTAAGACCTGATCCCAGGTCATTGTTCCCAAATTTTATTTTTGCGACCAACAAACTAAGATGTCCATGCAAGCCATATCATCTCTTATAGTAACCCCATCAATGATTTTGTTGGATTCCCCCCCCCCCCCCCCACCCCCCCCCCCGGATAGTTATGCTGTGGGCTCGTGCCCAGCGTGCTTCATGGGCACGGATAACGGTGCCGTCAGGCACCGTTATCTTCATTTTTTTTATTTTTTATTTATTTTTTTTTTTAAATTTAATTTCAGACCGCTTCGTTATAGGAGCATATATTCACAGCTTTGTGTTCATAATTTCATAACTGTACATTCATAATTTCATAACTGTACATTCATAATTCTATAACTGTACATTCATAATTCCGTAACTGTACATTCATAATTCAATAACTGTAAATTCATAATTTTCGAAGCTCTATGTTCATAATTGTAAGTTCATAATGTCAGAGTTCTATGTTCATAATTTCATAACTGTACATTCATAATTCCATAACTGTACATTCATAATTCCATACTGTATATTCATAATTCCATACCGAACATTCATAATTTTCGAAGCTCTATGTTCATAATTGTAAGTTCATAATTCCATAACTATACATTCATAATTCTATAACTGTACATTCATAATGTCATAACTGTATATTCATAATTTCATAACGAATATGCCGTTAACGGCGTTTCGAACAATTTTTTTTTTTTTTAGTTAAAACAGCGTCGTTTTCACGGAAAACGACGCCGTTTTAGCGCCGTGCACACCTTGCAAGGTGCGCACGTGCGCATAGCATAATTTGCCCCCCCCCCCCCCCCCCCCCTGACATTTTGAAGATGTGAAAGAAAGAGATGATAAGATTACAGGAGAGATGATATTTTTGTGGGCTCGCGAAAATTTGTTTAAAAAAAAAAAAAAAAGAAGAGAGGGGTAAGCTGGTGCGTGTCCTCGCACACCAGGCACTAGTAGTGCTCAATGACAGCGTGTGCTGCAAGCGCCCAACGGGAGTGTGCGCTTGCCCACTAAGAGCGTGCACTAAGGGTATGTTTAATGCTTTTTTTTTTTTTTTTTTTTCTTCTTCGTCCTTTGCATAAAAAACTTGACAAAAAATTAGAACTATTGGAGTTGCTCTTAGATTTTATGACTGGTCCACGTACTAAAATAATGAGTAATACACAAGTACACATCAAAAAATTAATGATGCGTATAATATATTTATTCCCTAGAAAACGGCAACATTGGCTACAACCTTAAGCGCGGTCCAATCCATAGATATATAAGAGGAGTTGATTGTTACACTGTCATTAATGTCAATCACTAATGAAATTATCATCCATGCATCCCATTCAAGCTACAGATTATCTGTGTCTCTACTCTCAAATCAACCACAATTATTGCAGATTTTACATTTTTCTTGTTGTTCCATAACCACAATTATTGCAGATTTTACATTTTTCTGGGTGCAGTTAAATACCAGCCTCGATCTCATCTACACCAAGATATTAGCTTGCCAGATATTATTGGGTTTTGGCACCTAACATGAAGATGGTGCAGCCTGGTACAACTGCTGCTGGCCACAAAAATTCAGAGATTTAACAATCTCCCAGGCTAGAAGAAAGTGACTGTTTTGACATACTTTATCTTCATATCCTTTAATTTTTTTATTTTTTTTTATTGATTGTCTTTTATTTTTTTTAGTAACGAGAGAAACTCGTAACTACTATCAAGAGTGTGCACTAGGTAAATCTTGCTTTATAACTATATATGCAAAGGACCAAGTAGGCCAATTGTTAGAGATTATTCCCCGAGTATACCTCCCTCTACATACCGTATACTTGCTCGGTACCCGATCGTGGAGTCGAATCATTTCCGAGCATCACCGGCCTAGAAGCTTGTCAGCCCGACCTAAGTTGTATCATACAGGTAGGGTTCACTCAGCAACAATAACTGACCATGTATTGTTTTGCCCCAGTCATCTTAGGTCGGGACGAATCACCCGACCCTTTACACTGGGAACCTTAGGCTTTATCCTTTTAGTTGAGCCCGGTGGCAGCAGGAATGAAAGAGTAAAGAATCTCGGTACACGTGAAGAAATCATCGAGGGCCTCGAACCTTCGTCGGTGCATGAGCTCCACGTGTCGCGCATGCCAAGTAAGCCAACATGTGTCTCCTTTCTTCTCCTATAAATACCGCATTAGAAGCTTGGGAGTGAGACTTTTTGACACTTCCACTTAGCCTAGCTTATTTAGCTCGGAACCTTCTGACCTTACGTCATCATCCAAGCTTAAGACATAAACCAACAAGCAGATTAGAGAAGGATCCACCTACGATAGACCTTAGTACTTGTACATATTTGTGGGAACCATCGTATTTACCACATTACCTATAGATCACTGTTAAACTTGTAACCTTATGATTATCAAGTCAACAGTCTAACCAATTCAGCTAAATTGGCCCGCATACAATCTCACCAATTCAGCTAGGTTGGCCCGCATTTCTTGATTTTGACGTGTTACTATATCTACATGTAGCATGTGTTGGGGATGGGACCATTAATCAGGTGGCTGCCGAAATGAATTAATGTTAGCAACAGTGAAGGAATTAGGGGGCACATTGAAATTTCAGTCAGCATGTAGCCTTTTATGAAAATTTTATTACATGTAATTTTTCATATTCTAATAAGATCTTTAATTTGAGGATAAAAAATTAAAAACCGGGGAACACTATTCATTACAATTATGGTTATGATTAAATATTAAGTAAATTAATTAGTACGTGCAAAACACTATTCATTACAATTATGCATGGTTTGTAACGAAATGGGTAATAGTGATTGGGGGCTATATATAATTGTTAATGGACTCGATTAGAGATAACCAACCCTATAGGAACATGCTAACCATACAAATTAGTTAGTTTCTTATCATTTTCAGAGTTAGAGCTGGACTTATCAGAAACTGATAAGAAACTAACTAACCATACAAGTGACAACATGGACTTTTTTTTTTTTTTTTTTTTGGTTGCTTTAGAGCTGGACTTAAAATTGTTATTTTTTATTTTTTGGATGAGAGAAACACGCACGTCGTCACTTGCATTGTCACTATTTAAATTATGCATAGAGTAAATTTAAATTTTATATAATAATGTCCCGCAAATTAAAAACACATGAAAGATAAACTGTATCAAGAAGGTACGCAATCGAACTCGCGACTTTTAAATACAAGAACCATGTTTGATTGATTCACTTGGCCTTGGCTATCCTTTTGGGCGACTAGATATTAGGCTGGAATTATCCCTGCCAACGTCTCCATTTGCAAAATGATGTGACATCATTTTTACCTCTTTTTTTTTTTTGAACAGGATTTGCAAATTTGCACCTGTGCAAAAGCAGCTGTGCCAGTTTTTGTTTTTTTTTTTTTGTTTTTTTTTTTTTTTTTTAGGGATGTGATGTGAATAGTAAATGATTTGTAAATTGAGTGATGTGGAAGCGATACCCATTTTTAAACGTGGGAGAGATTTGACGGGATAATGTTAGCCTTAAACTTGAAGTCTATGTCTTGTTTTGTCATGAGACGGTCTCATATAGGAGATTTTGCCTTATTAGAAATAGCTTCTTTTGTGCTCAAATAGTATTCGGGTTGGACTCTCACATGGAAGATTATGATTTACCTCAGTGAAAATGTTAACTGGCGACTCGTGATTTACCTCCCCGTACTTTTAGGCAGGAGTTTGGGCCTAAATTAGAATCAACTAAAGAATTAGTTGTGTAGCGCACTCGATCTTGCCCTTTTCCGCAAGAATTGTCTGTCAGTCTGTCACGTATGTTTCATCATGTCCCTTGAGCATCACTCTATAAATCGGTGCATTATCCTCTAAGCTAATATGCATTGTCTCCATTCTTTTCCATTTCTAGACCTTTTTGTTGCACAACAAAATAGAATAGCAAAAGAAAATGGAAGCTTTTTCTTCTTCTTCTTCTTTCCTCTCTACTCTTCCAATCTCTTTTCCTAAGAACAGAACTCCTTCACCGCCTAACCTTACTATTCTCAACGTTTCATCGGTTAGAATCGAAGAAAAGACGGTAACCACCACCAGAAAACCGACTCCTCAGCCGCCGGAGCAGCCGCCTGCTCCGCCGCCTAGAAAAGCCGCTGCGGTGTCTAGGAGACCGCCGGCGGAGGTGTCATTACCGACTCTTATATTTAACGGGTTTGATGAGTTCATCAACACTTTCATTGATCCGCCGCTCCGGCCGTCCGTTGATCCGCGCCATGTTTTGTCGGCGAATTTCGCGCCCGTCGACGAGCTCCCGCCGGCGGAGTGCGAGGTGGTGGAGGGCGCTCTGCCGTCGTGCCTTGACGGCGCGTACATCCGCAACGGCCCTAACCCGCAGTATCTGCCGCGTGGGCCCTACCATCTTTTTGACGGCGATGGGATGCTTCACGCCGTTAGGATCTCGCAGGGGAGAGCCACGCTGTGTAGCCGTTATGTTAAGACGTATAAGTATGAGGTGGAACGGAGTATCGGTTCTCCCGTTATCCCCAACGTTTTCTCCGGTTTCAGCGGCCTAACCGCTTCCGCTGCCCGCGGAGCTCTGACCGCTGCCCGCGCACTTTCCGGTCAGTTTAACCCCGGCAACGGCATTGGCCTAGCGAACACCAGCTTGGCCCATTTCGGCGGGAAGCTTTTCGCGCTCGGAGAATCCGATCTCCCTTACGCCGTCAAAATCGCCGCCGACGGCGACGTTATCACTCTCGGCCGCCATGATTTCGACGGGAAGCTTATAATGAGCATGACGGCTCACCCGAAAATCGATCCGGAGACCGGCGAGGCCTTCGCCTTCCGTTACGGCCCAATGCCGCCGTTCCTAACCTTCTTCCGGGTAAACTCCGACGGCGTTAAACAACCCGACGTCCCGATTTTCTCCATGCCGCAGCCGGCATTTATGCACGACTTCGCCATCACCAAAAACTACGCCATCTTTTCCGACATCCAAATCGGAATGAACCCTCTGGACCTCCTCAACGGCGGCTCGCCGGTCGGGGCTTCCCCCGGGAAAGTCCCTAGAGTCGGCGTGATCCCAAGGTACGCCAAAGACGAGTCGGAAATGCGGTGGTTCGAGGTGCCGGGGTTCAATATCGTCCACGCCATAAACGCCTGGGAAGAAGACGACGGCAACACCATAGTAATGGTGGCTCCAAATATATTGTCCGTTGAACACACTCTGGAACGCTTGGATTTGGTTCACGCGTCGGTGGAGAAACTGACGATTGATCTCAAAACCGGCGTGGTTTTCCGGCAACCGCTTTCCACCCGGAATCTTGATTTTGGGGTGATCAATCCGGCTTACATCGCCAAGAAAAACAAGTACGTATATATTCTTATCAAAGATTCAAATAATTTATGATTCCTCACTTTCATAGGCTAACAACACCAATATTTTAAAGTAATCTAACTATATATATATTTAATAAGGTTAATAATATAACATAATTAAATATTTGATTTACAAAAAAGTATAAAGCTTCGAGTAAAATTAATCAGGTTATTCATAGTTGATTGGTTCAAAACCAAAAAGATAACATCTGTGAAGTTAAATTTAAAACATTGTGATTACCAAATTAATTATTTAACCAAACCATTTTACTTAGGACTGTCTCTTAGTTAAATCGAAATCTTACACTTAAAATTACATATATTTATATATTTCTAGATTTTTATTGTTGGCATAGGGCACGATAAATTTAGGCCATACACGTAACAATCATCACCTATTGTTGCTTTACTCTCAAAGATGCCTTCCATATCTTTATATTTGACACAAAAATATCTAATGAAAGAACTCCACAATTGGATTGCCATAATAATAAGGAACAAACTATATGTGATAAATTTGGTTAATATTATTACATACTTCATGGCCCCACCACATCACTAGAGAAGTCAAGATCATCAAAGTTAAATTAAATACGGAGTAGTAGATTGGGGAAGTGACAATTTTTTGTCTTCAACTATAGAGAAATAGTATTTCTTTATTGGGAAAATGGTGAAATAGGCCTTCGAACTTTAGCTTAGTTAATTAGGCATTTAAATCTTTTAAAAATGCAATTACACCCTTCAACAATTTATATAAGTGCAATGAAGTCCAAAAATAAATTAATGACCTGCTATCACAGGTCATTAGGGTTCAGGCCACCTTCTAGCGAATTTTTTGGCAAAAAAAAAAAAATGATCGGTGAAATTTTCGACAAAAAAAGTGACCGGTTAAATTTTCGACAAATCTGGGTCGGTTACTTTCTTTTTTTTTGCCGGAAAATTTGCCTGAAGGTGGCCTGAACCCTAATGACATGCGATAGCAGGTTATTAACTTATTTTTGGGCTTCATTACACCTAAATGAATTGTTGATGGGTGCACCTTTAAAAAGTTTAGGGGCCTAATTGACTTTTAAGCTAAAATTCGAGGGTCTATTTGACCCTTTTCCATTCTTTATTTGTTATTTTTGTAAATTAAAGTTTTTATGGGTACAACTTGAAAAGAATATAATGCTTTAATTTGTTGCATTGGGTACTAAATTACTAATACATAAAAATTAAAAATACTTTGATTATATGCAGGTATGTGTATGCAGCGGCGGGGGATCCTATGCCGAAGGTATCCGGAGTGGTGAAGCTAGACGTGTCGGTGTCGGAAGCCGACCGGCGAGATTGCATAGTGGGTAGCCGGATGTACGGGCCGGGGTGCTTTGGGGGAGAGCCATTTTTTGTGGCCAGGGAGCCCGACAACCCGGAAGCGGCGGAGGACGACGGCTATGTGGTGTCGTACGTGCATGACGAGAAGAGTGGAGAATCAAAGTTCTTAGTAATGGACGCCCAAACTCCCAACCTTGACATTGTCGCCGCCGTCAGATTGCCCGCCCGGGTGCCTTATGGTTTCCATGGCCTATTCGTTAAGGAAAGTGACCTAAACAACCTTTGAAAGAGCAATTTATATCAACAATAATTCTTTAAAATAAAATCAAAATCGGTTGTGTATTGCAATATATATATATATATTGCATAATTGCAATGACCAGTTGGTAACACCATAGTTACCGATCACAATCAAAAGGGTGGCTGTCTCTATTTACGGTGTTTATAATACTACACCTACACTTAGACTTTTGGTCACTGAATTATGCCTCGCGAGCTATTTCTCATATTGTATATATGTACATACATGTATGTAATATTTAAATTTGTAATAAAGTTGTCAAAACTTTAGCAAAAGACTAATGTTTTTTTTTTCGTGCTATTTTTTTTTTTTAATGTTCACTTATGTAATGAAACTCTTTTTATTCATGGTCACCATGAAATAGTTGACACACATTATGTTACAAAAAATAATATATTCCCTCTGTCGCATTTTATATCTCCATGCATTAGTCAAACTAACTCTATTTTCTTAAAATTTTTAAATTTAATTTTTTTAATGTTTAATAGTACTTTAAAATTTTAATGTAATATATATATATATATATATATATATATATATATATATATATATATATATATATATATTAATTCTAAATTTAATATCATGAAAATTTTGATTGTAAATAACTTCAGTTAAGTCTCGTTAACCGAATTCAACACATAAAATGTAATGAAAAAAATTACTTAATAATTAAATATAAATATTAATAATATATTACTATCGCGTAAAGAGATGAATATTTAGAAGTAAAATTATGATGAAATTTTGGCATCGACAACAATGATTATTGGTGTGTTGGTAAACTTTTTAAAGTTTATCCATTTTGCACATTGTATGCATGTTAAAGTGTGTGTGGTGGAAATTGGAAGATTGTGATGCTGATATTGGCATTATTATGTAAGTAAAGAATGAAAATCATTATCATTGTAGTATTTTTCACTTCTAAAAATAAATTTCATTTTCTCGTGTTTACATTATTAAATTTTAACTTTTTTTTAATTATTTTACTACACAATATCTTTTCATTTTCAAAAGTGATTTCACTTTAACATCATATTATAATCTAACAATAAAATAATAATAATAATAATAATAGTAAAACAAAAAAAAAAAAAAAGTCCCACATACTATCATGCAATAGTCTTTTTGTACTTTACAAACTTGCAATACACATAAGTTAATAATAATAGTTAATACCATTTGAGGTCCTCCGAGTATAATGGTTTTGCCACGTTTAGTCCTAAACTTTCAAATTGACCATTTATGGTCCTTCTACTTTCAAATTTAACCATTCGTGGTCCAAGTTAACCACATATGGTCCTTCAAGTTTTGAAATTTAACCAGTCGTGGTCCTCTTGATAGGACCATGGTTGGTTAAAATTTAATAGTTGAAGGACCATGGGTGGTTAACTTGGACCACGAATGGTTAAATTTGAAAGTCGAAGGACCACAGATGGTCATTTTGAAAGTTTAGGACTAAACGTGGCAAAACCACTATACTCGGAGGACCTCAGATGATATTAACTCATAATAATAATAATAATTATTATTATTATTATTATCCACATAACATGCCACATCACTTTGCAAGCTCCATCATTTCAAGAATACCATTTCGATTATATTATATATGAAGAATTTATGATACTTCCAAATGATGAGAAGGTGAGCACTCAGGTTGAGGTGGTGGAACAATATTATGTGCACATCTGGAGTAGAAATGATGTTATGTGTTGCAATTGAGTGAAAGCAAGGCAAGGATATGGAAGCTACTTCACCGATGTCAACTGCAAGAACATTCCAAAATAATATGGAAGCTACCTCACCGATAAAGGATCAGGTGCAAAGAAAGCCTTAGGTGAAAAATAAGGTTGTTAGTTATTAATTTTGTCAAAATTAATGTCCAACACGGATTAAAAAACGAGGTGACAATTTAATCATTTTGTGTATTGTTCAAACTTAAGGTGCGTATTTTTTATGTTTAAGGTACGTAGATTTATAGCTTAAGATGTGTATGTTTAAAGCTTAAGGTGCATCATTTTCTAGTCAGTTTAAAATTTAAGATGCTCAAGTTTTTAAGGTTAAAGTACGTACTTTTATCGCTTAAGGTGCGTAGTTTTATAACTTAAGGTGCCTGACTGCCTGCATATGTTTAAAGTTTAAGGTGCGTCACTTTCTAGTCAATTTAAAACTTAAGGTGCTTAAGTTTTCAAGTTAAAGTGCATAATTTTATAGCTTAAGGTGCATAGTTTTTATAACTTAAGGTGCATAGTTTTTATAACTTAAGGTGCATATGTTTAAAGTTTAAGGTTCGTCACTTTTCTAGTTTAAGGTGCATCAGTTTAAAACTGTGTGTAGTTTTATAGGTTAAGGTGCATCAGTTTGAGACAGTGCATACATGTTGGCAAGAAGCATGCTTTTTAAAAAAAAAATAAAATTCATTGATTTAAGTCGTTGATTTAGATTTGATCAACGGCTCAAATCTCTCTCCATCTTTCACCTGGGAGCTCCTTCGCACATGATCTCTTCCCTATATATATATATCCCAGCTTATGCTAAACTAATTCTAAACTTCTAGAATTCATGTTCAAGAGTTGTTGGAGGAGGTAAATTCTGCCTCTACACTCTACGCACAAGGGGTCTTTATATCGTCTGATCGGTCAAGATTAATTCTACCTATATACTCTGCGCACAAGGGGTCTTTATATTGTCTAATCGGTCAAGGTTTCTAAAGCAAAACTTTAACATGATCACTCAAACTTACTCTGTAGCACATCCCATAAATGGTTAAACCATCCCACTTTAAAAATTTTAGCTGTTTTTCTGAATACTAGTAACTCTATTACAATGTAATATCTGGTCATCTATACTTTCTCAACCTATTGAAGCACAGAGTCAACACCGCCTCCACTGAAGCTTGATCTCATGACTTCCCATATGAAAGAGTCACTATATGTCTATATGTCATATGAGCACGAGGTGCTTGACAAAATGAACAGAGCAATCTTAGCTGTTGTTTAGAAGTTTGGTAGGCTAATAGCATACCACTTTGCTATTCAAGCTTTCAAATATGCAATCTCACAATTCATCAATGATACATACAAAGTAACAAATGGAGTCCTCTCTAACAACTTAAGCTTTAGACCATAATCTAATGAAACCGATCTCAGTGGCAATCCCCCCGCGTTTCAAGAATTATCATCTTCTATAGCCTCTATAGCGTGGTATCCCTCCATCGAGGAAGGCGGGTCCTATAATTTCAACATGATAAGGAAAGAATCGACATAAAACATGCAAAGACAACAGTGAAGGCTGAAATGACATCAGTTATAAGTTGACATTTTTTATCACTAATATCTCCAAAAAAAAAAAAAAAAAAAAAATTGTAGAATGCTAGAATGTGTGAATCTCAAAGATGACAAGAAAAATTTTCCTGTAAATATCTCTCAAGACTTGCTAATCCATCATCTTAGGTATTGATGTAGATGGACCAGAGAAAATTTGTCCTATCTGGTATGAGATCTTGTTAAGAGAAGATGATTCTCTGGGAATTAGAGGGTCTGAGGAGCGAGTAGTATGAGGAATAGTTACCATCGATGATTGTCTCTCTCTGTACGACGCCCACGTTACCAAATAAAGACCGGCTATGATCAGAAGTCCTCCCAATATGCTGCATTATCATATCAGTGTTAGAGTCAAGGAGAAAAAAGAACAGCTTTTTTCAAAGAAGGGATAAACCAGAATGATGACAAAAAGTGTTGTGAGTGCTAAGAATGTATATTAAACACGAGACAAGTTAGAAAGAAGAAGCAAAAACCGTAAAGTATTACCTTCCCAAATAAATAGGGCTTCCAAGGAAAATCGTTGACAGGATTGTCGATGCAGCAGGTTGAAGTGGATTGTAAAGAGCAACTAAAGCGGGGCCGAGAATCCTATTGCACCATGTCAGAAGTCCATAGTTGAGAGCGGATGCAATTATTCCCTGATAAAGAAAACAGAGTGAATAGCCTACAAAGTAGGAGAACCGACTAGGCGGCTTTTAGTCGGCCGACCGACTGGGCGCCTAACTCGGCCGAGTTGAGTGCATAGCTCGGCTTAGTCGGGCACCTAACTCAACCGAATCGGTGCCCAACTCAGCCGAGTTGGCGCTCAACTCGACTGAGTGGTTTTTTTTGTCTGCTCAGCTACTCCTCTTCTATATTTCTCAACCATGTACTCAACTAACCATCTAACATATGCATTTCACTAGTTTGGGGGATTATAACAGTCTAACAACTCCTAGCCCTGAGTGGGAAAAGTGGAGACAATATACTCGAATTACTCAGCCGCCTAGGCGCTAGGCGCCCCCGAACACCCGTCTAGTGCCTAGCACCTTCTGCAACATTGCAAAAATCTAATCACTCCAAAAGACAATGGAAAATGCAACACAGAATATTGGGCCATCCGTGTATCCCAAGTCAACGAAAGAATTTATCTTTCATTGGAAGGAGGGGGCAGGACTAAACGATGTAATTCTTAGATATTGAATACAAGCATATACATAAAATCTAACTTGATCCCAGACGACTCAGGACAATCTATAGAACATGGAAGAACAGGCAAACTTACAGCATAGCATACTGCAATAACTTCAGATTGTGTGAATTTCCAGTCTGTTGACAGGTTTGTTGAAAATAATGCTGTCACTCCCATTAACATGGTGCCAAAAAGATACGAATATGCTGTCAGGGAAATGTTTGCAGGATATTTCTTTAAAATTGGTGCCTGAAACATTTAAAAACGGTAATCTATCTCTTCTTTTCTTGTAAAAAAAAATAGTCCTACCAAGGAAAGGAATGAATACAAGCAAAGAGGACAAGTACTGTAATGCTATAAAGAAACAGAAAAATAAGGAAAAGAAACAACTATAAAGTATAAGGCAATCCCTTCAAAATTGGAGAACCGTACAATGATATTCCCAGCAAGCAGCTCCATAATCACAAATAAAACATAACTTTTAAGTTCTAATCTGGCATGAAATAAACTACCTGAAAGGCTAGGTATGCTGCCATGCACATACAGTTTCCTATTAAACACAAGACGCCAAGGTGCCAATTATCAAATCCCAATTCTAGGAAATTAGACATTAACCATCCATGAGGTTCAGGCTGACCCCGAGCACTAATTTCATTTTGTGCGGAGAACTCCGGTTCCTTATATCCAAGAATGGTCGAGCCTCGGTACAGTGCCATTACAACAGCACCTGAAACACAGACAATGGTACCTCCAATCTTTGCTTGACCTTCTGTAGTAAGTAACTTCACCGTTTCTGTACTGCAACACAACAGTAATATTGAATATTTGAATATCTCATGTATGCAACAGATAGATCACTAATGAATAGATGCAAAAGATAACGAGACAGACGGTTATATTTAAAGACATACACCAACATACTATACACTGACAAATTAAGATAGATAGATAGATGCATAGTTAGTTAGATAGACATATAGGTACAAGAATATCTACGGAGAAGACTACTTCTTGAACTCACCCCATCAACACAGCCAAAATAAATGTGAAGACTGGAATTGCAGGTTGGATAGCTGCAGCATAAGCAGGACTTGTATATCCAAGACCGAGCAGAAACAAGAGTTGGTTTCCAAAAATCCTGGACCAATTATCCAGAAAGAAAATGTGTCAAGGACTTAATCCTACGTTGAAGAACAATATACGGTGTAAGAAGAAAACACACTTAAACAACTGTGAGCACATTTAACTTACCCAGTTAATCCTAGGATGCAGAATGATACTATCAGCTGCCTGTTTAAAGGAGGTCTCAACCTTCTGTAAACAACAAACACCAAGTCACCAATCCACATAACCTTTTTCCTTTTATTTGGTAAAAAATCAAATTAAAGAGCACAAAGTGGGTGCAACCCTGTATACAAAGAGGAAAAAAAACACCACAACCCTATTTGAAAACAAGCCAGGAGATTTCCTCCCGGCTTCTGCCAATTTTTATTTTTTATTTTGGGTTTGTTTTACTTAGTCTCATAATCCGCCTCCACGGCTCCACCCCAATCCAACCTGATTTAAAACCAGTGCTTTGCAACTTCCAATACCCTCTTTGCTGGCGATCCGTGCCAATTAGCTATCATCTCTTCCCTATATTCTCATTCCCTAAACACAAAGCAATACCCGGAAAGGTACTCCATATTATCTATACCTAACATAACTGCTTCAAACAGGTGAAAAATAGGCAAATAAAGGTATGAAGTTAGCATAAAACATTTTACATGGTAATCATCGGATGAACAAATTTCCAAATCATGCTCAAAACCTGATTTTGATCTCAATTCTACATTCTTTTGGATTCAATAATTGCTTAGGGATTAACCCCCAAGCACATAAGCTATGGTCAAACAGCCTCAATTAATCCCCTGTCCTGAATTAAACTATTAATTCACAACACAACACAACCCGAATCCTAGTTTGATCAAAATTCAACTGAATTAGCTGATACTCTGCAAAATGTTTAATTACGGATCAAAAGTAGACTGAATTTATCATCCACGACTAATGTCAACGACCTCTTAACGCCAATTCCCCAATTAAGCTTCAAATTACAATTGTATAGACATCAGTACTTAGGTACCAAATCATATCCACAGTCCAAATCACACCCATAGTTTGCAGAAACGAAAAAGTTGAAATTTTTGAAGATGGGGCGCTGACCTTTCGCGGAAATAGGCGACAGGAGCGAGAATGGAGATGGCGATGAGGTCCCGATAGACGCAGAAGACGATCTGATTGACCCCCACGTTGAGAGCGACCTTAGTAATGACATGGTAGCCTCCATACAAGACCTGAATCATCGCCATTGTCGCATGAGCTCTCCATGCTTCGCCGCCGTTACTCCCAACCGCTGACATCCTTAGCATTTCATCTCACCCTCCTCCTCCCCCTTCACTTATGTATGCAGATTTGTGTGAGGTGGTGGTTGGTCCCTTTGGATTGGAGTTCCCTTCTTGCCGAAGCTCGGAAATTATGACTTACGAACGATAATTTGGTGTAGGGTCTTGGAAGGATGACATCTCACCACTCTCGTACTAGGCTAAATATTCTGTGGAAGAATTATATTATTTAAATTATATTATATTATATATAAAGCTGTTTCTTGAAATGTAAGCTCAAATAATATGGAGACAATAAAAGAAAAATTTAAGTTGCTTGTCATACACTTTTTTTTTTTTTAATTGAGTCGTTACTAGGGATGTCAATTGTACCCGCACCTGACGGGGAACCCGATTCCCCGTCCCTATGGGGACGGGGATGGGGATAGAAATAGGTGATCGGGGATGGGGATGGGGGCAATTTTGAATTCCCCGCCGGGGACGGGGACGGGGATGGGGAGTACTCTCCCCGCCCCGCCCCGTCCCCGATGTATGTATGTATGTAACACACATATGTATTACTTTGTATACAATATATATAATTTTAGAAGCATTCTTGTCATTGTTTGTCATGCTTATGAAATGCATATTTAAATAACATGTTTAATTGTAAAATATTGAATACTATTTTAAATTGGGGATGAATATATATACGTTATTTATTTAAATGTTTTTGAATATTTAATATTTAATTTTTTTTATAACTTATTAATGGGGTGGGGATTCCCCGTCCCCGAATAATCCCCGTGGGGATGGGGATGGGGGGAGTTTTCCATTCCCCGGCGGGGACGGGGACGGGGACGGGAAATGGGAAAAAAGTCGGGGGCGGGGATGTGGGGTATGTCCCCCGCCCCCACCCCGCCCCGTTGACATCCCTAGTCGTTACTTCACAAAGGTGCTAAGAGTGTTGTAACATCACTTTCTCTGAACAAAATAATATAGTCAGTGCCTAGGAGCCCTAAGCAGTCAGCGCTTAAGCGGCCTAATCGACTGACCGTCTAAACTATCAATTATAATGATACGCTAAGTGATTAGCGTGTCTAGGTGCTGATTAATTGGTGTTTATGCGGGATTTTTGCAACACTGTATTTTTTAAGTGAATATTTAAATACATAATCACATAAAAAATATAAATATGTAATCAAAATGTGGACAATGATCAATTTCTCCAAAAAAACAACACTATAAAGAGATGTATGGATGGGTCATGGGTGGTGATATACTGATCTCAGTACCTACTACCTACCAGTCTACCACCCACCAATTCATTTATCCATTTGAATTATTCATTGGTATCTAAGGAATGAAGTATTCATGACACATGCATGTATATGATGTACTCTATCTGCCCAATAAATTCTAAGATATTTACCATACTTGGTATCAGTTATTGGGTATTTTATATATAATGATTGTGATGGATTATATTGATCCGGATGGTCTAATAATAATAATAATAATAATAGGGATTTGTGGTCAAAAAAAAAAAAAAAGAATTTAAAGACAAAGATAATAATAAGGAAAGGACAGTGGATTGATTGCGGAGATAAGAATTGTATTGATGCATTGTGTAATGTTTATATATTACAATGATTAAATTGACAACATGTAATGAGATAACAACATGATTGTTGATAATAATAAGACAAGGATGAAGATGAATTGAAGATGTTCTCGATGAAAACAAATAATGCTTATTTAAAGTATTAAGCCTAATGAACTCCACGGAAGTAGCGTGATCCACGATAATAGGTATTCCCCCAACGCCCTTAGAGGTCGACCTCAAGAGCTGACCCCGAAGGCTCACCATGGAAGACGACCTTGCTGGTAGAGCCTTTCGTGGCCTTCGTCTCTAATGTCGTAGTGGACCACAATGGTTGAGCCCGAGTCATGGCCGACCTCGGGGTCGGCTTTGCCCATATTGGGTTGACCTTGCCCGGGTCAGCTCTCCATCTTCATTCAGATCGATTTTCTACGATTAGGATCCATATTCTTAATATATCCATCATACAAGGTACTCCGTATATAATAGGAAATCATTTCAATATCACTACAATTATGTATATATGATATACATGTACATGTTGATTAGCATAGTAAACTTTTCCTTATATTTTAGAGAATATCTAGATATATATATATATATATAATCACGTGAGAATATATATTTGAGATGAAGTTGTGAAACCATTGTACCATGCATCTCTCCCGAAAGCACTATCAGATGTTGGGCCGTTCCAATAAAAATTGGGGCCCTGTGCAATATCTTAATTTGGATCCATTTTTTCAAGTAATTTTTATATATAAATAATAGTTGTTCAAAAAGTTGTATCAAAATATAAATATTATATAAAAATACATCTAAAATTTCATTTAAAAAGTGATATGCGTCGTGCACATTTGGACGCAAAATCATTTACCAAACTTTTGATATCAACTTCTTCCAAAAGCTCATTTTCAATGGAGATTAAAGCTATACCATTGAGTCTCTCTTGCAACATACTTGATCGTAAGTAATATTTCAACAATTTCGACTTTGAAAACTTCTTTCTAGAGGCACCAATAATTGGGATAGTCAATAATATTCGATATGCATTAGTAGCATTTGGAAAACAACACATTTGTTTCAATGAATTCAATATACTCATTGCCCCTATCTTTTCTTTCGATAAAATCTCTCTAAGCAATTTTAGCTCAATATACAATTCATTTCCATCAGTATCACCACATTGTTCATTGAGATTTGGGAATTGAATTAAAAAATAAAAATAATGGTAATTGCTAATTAGCATAAGGTCCCGGTCGAAGATGCTAATTGTTATTATTTGAGATTTTAAATTAAAAATTGTCATTCTTAATTAATAATGGTACTTGTCAATTGAGATTTAAGAATTGGGAACCGTCAAAAGTAGGGAATTGAATCAAGGGATTAGAACACACACAGAGAGCGCACTTAGCATGAAATCCTATATTCTATATATACATATAACTAACTTTTTTTTTTTCTTTTAAATATGGGGCCCCCAAAAATTGGGGACCCTGTGTAGTCGCACATGTTAGACATGCTCAGAATTGTCCCTGTAGATGTATGGGTGGAGCAACCCTTATCTAAGTTGGTCAGGCAAGTTCAATTATGCTTATTGATGATTATCTTGGTTTTAGCCGGCAATTATAACAACTAACCTAAGCTGGTTTACCTCATTGTAGTCATTTATCGATTAGGATTACAATACAGACTTCACCTAAATTATGTTTTTGAATAGCGACTGTGAATTTTCGTTCGTGTAGATTAAATAAATATATGAATTGATTATATATCATTAATATCTAAGTACCTATCACCTCCCTTCAAAAAATAAACAAAAAAAATACCTATCACCTACCATTCTACCAACTTATCCATTTGAAACTACTACTTCCCTGCTATACTGAATGGACCATCCCCCATATCCTTCGGACTAATGTGAAGATGACAACAAGGGGGGCAGGGTCACACTTTTATGGCCCATGCATGCATGATTTCCAAGGAATTATTGTCCGGCCGGCATGCCAAAGTTGACACCTTCATCATCTATCATCAATAATATTTGTTGAATAGTTGGAGGCTACCCTAATGGGCTCATGTTCCTAGATACCATCATAATAAAACATTTATCCCATATTAAAGGGCTTTTGAGGTTTTCACATTGGTATCTTTGGCCCAATAACCACGTGCCCAACATTCCCACCTTTCATTTCTCACTTGTACTACATAAGAAGTGCTACCTAAAAACTTAGATGGTCAAGTCTAGGCCTTCAAGGCAAATTATATCGTGGACCAGGGTCCACAGTCACACAGAATTCTTGTTTATAATGAATTCTATGTATTATGTTAAGTGTTTATGTGTCTTCAGCAATATAATAGACATAATTCATGTTTATAATGCATAGAATTCATGTTCATTATATCGTGTTTATATATATATGTATTATGAACAATTCCGTGCATTATGAACATGAATTCTGTGTACTGGATCAGGGTCCATAGTGTACAATCGAAGAGCCTTGTTCGACTACGACCAATGCAATATGAGGATCAAAGTAAGTAGTAGGAAAGAAACACATGAAGATCAAATTGAATGATTGAAGCAAAGCAAGCTAGCTAGGGTGAAAACAAGACACATGTTAAAGAGCAAAGAAAATTATTATAAAGCAAAGAAGCTAAGAAACAAAAGAAAGAAAGAAAGAAAAATGTGGAAATGATTGGAGGGCAGGGGGAAGCACGATGAGATGGGGGCAGGCACGCAGGAGAGGATATCTTTCTCCACTCTATAATGAGCAGTACGTAGCATATATAATTTCCCACTTTCCTAATCAGATCAACTGTTTATCCAAATGGATCACAAACGCCCTTTGCATCTTTTCAAGTATTATTGCAATCATTACATTGTCAATAGAGCTGTGTAGATCATACTATCAAATAATGTACATTCAGTACATAAATAATGTACTTTTTGATAGGGATATACACCTCATAACTGTAGTTGTATGCTCGATATCGGCCGGTGACGTCATCCCGAATGTCTGGGCCACAGAACCGACCGGCCAGGTCGCTCGGGCATCTTCCCGACCGTCCTCTTTCGGACCACTCATACCGCAGTTGGCCCTAATGCGGATAGGCCGGAGACCTGCACCCGACCATTTTCCACTCGGGCCCCGACCAGTGAGCCTTCGATCCCGTGCTCCTGGGATCACCAGTGTAGCATCGCTGCGTGGCGAGATAATACACGACCTCAGTAGCGGCCGGTGCATGCTCGCCACGTGCTGACCATGCCGGATCCCTGGGGCCTGTCTCCTCCTCCTATAAATAAGGTATTTATTGCTCTTGGAGGGGGACTTTGAGCATTTACTTGAACCGGAGTTTCCAAACCCACTGTTGAGAATCCCGAGCTTCAGTATCCAGTCAGTAGCACTCCGCGGGTCACTTTGCGTATACCCGTATCTACAGTATCACTTTTAGATATTAAAAATGTACATTATATTCAGGTAAAATACATTATTTGAGTACTGAAAATACATTATTTTATATAATGTATTTTTTTGTTCTGGTCCACACAACATGACACTGCGTGGACCATAGTCCACACAATAATTATTTGTCGTATTATTGTTGTT